TGAATTAAATGTCAGCCCCTAAGTCTGCGACTTGTGGGCTAGTGTTAACAAGGGGAGCTTCCTCTTGCCAATCCCATTAAGAGCTATTAGTCACATTTAAGCTTGGTTACAAAGCACCAGACTAGCTTGCTAAACTGAAACCTTAAAATGTATTTTGAGCTCCAGACATTTTCTAGAGAATAACCTGCAATGGACTTTATTTAAGGGGTGGGAAAGGCCAGAAGATATATTAAGCCTGGGACTTAACACTTGTGGCTTAAGAAGTAGTCTTAATTGGATATCCTCAGTGCTTCTGAGAGTCAAATAGTGAGAGCAGCCACTGCTCTCATAGTTAACAGACTGCCAGAGTCAGCTATGTCCTTGATATGTGCAAGAAGGATCTACCCACCAACCACAGCCATGAGGAGTCTGCAGGAGACTATGACTAAATGTCCACCCTGAATGTGTACTCTAGAGTGTAAACTAACTTACCCTTTCTGTAAGAAGTCACAGTCTCCTGCCTTCATTCTCTTCCCAGGAACAAACTCTTTGTTCCCAAACTCTGCATAAGAATGAGCACCAGAAACTAAACTAGATGATTTCCAGGCAATTTCAGGGTCTTATATTTTGGTTTCCTAGGAACTAGTTAAACAGATAAATGTCTCAGCCTATTTAGAGCAATCAGTCACATTTAAATTAGGTGACAAAGTTCACTGGATGTTCTTGCTAAACTGAAACCTTAAAATGTTTTCAGTAAGAAAGCATTTTGAGTTCCAGACATTTCCTAGCAAATAACCTGCTAAGAAAGGTATCAAAGTTATACTTTATATAAATATTCCTGAGTATGTGTTCTAGATATAAAAGGTAAGTCTTGATAGGTTATTTGTAACTTAGGGATGGTTGAAGCTACTTCATGGGGTTCTAGCATACATTAGCATGTAGTACTCAAAGATAATCACATATGAATTGTAATACAAAAAATCATTAATTTGTGTTTTAATTATATTGTCAAAAATCTTTTAAGTTCTCTTGTTAATCATCTTTAAAGTGAATCGAATAACTACATTGTACCTACCAATTGTGTAAAGATAAACACTGAAAAATATAATACAAATTTCACATGTAAAAATATACCTGTTGATTATACACTTTACATATTATGTTGCAAGTAATGTTTATTGTTTAGTTTTCTATCATTGTCACAAAATTTTTTAAATGTCAAAGTTGGGAGAAACACTATAAATACATATTAAAAATAGACTCTCCCTCTTTTTCTCAGAATCTGAGATGCCAGCACATGTGTAAGATAGACACTAGCAGTTTATCTGAACTGGGATGTAAGAAACAGCTGGACTGTGGGGGAGAAATGGGGGGAGAGGCTCTTAGATTGTCCTCACTCTTCCTCATCCCCTCAAGTGATACACTTAAAAATCCCCTTTGTTTTCAAAGAACAATCGCTCTATAATGAAACCATTTGCATTGTCATTTCAAGACATAAGGTCAAGACTACAGCACCTGTCCAGAAATATTCTGCCCCTCTATGGACCTTGCTTTTTGTATTGGAGGTCCCCTTCAGTCAAGTGAAACCCATTATAATTCTATGAAAAGACACATGCTTGGGGCTATCGCTCGGTTGGCAAATTGCTTGCACACCAGCACAACCACTTTAGTTCACTCCCAGCAGCCATATTTTGGCACTGTGGTATGAGTTTGTGCTTCCAGCACGGGGGACGCAGAGGCGGGAGACTCTCGGGCTCACCGGCCAGCCAGCCTCACCTTATCAGTAAACCCCAGATTCCAGGGTGACCCTATCTCAAAAGATAAAATGGATAGCCATCCTGGGGAATAATGCCAATGAGTGGCCTATGAGCTCCGTGTGAGCACTTCCAAACAGATACACACAGAGAGGCGGACACACCTGTGCACACACATATACCTTCACATGTACGCATATAGCCCCCCCAATACACAAACATCCTCAAGTACAAAATCTATATATGTCTATTTGTGAACTGGCATTTAGTGGATAAGATCAAAAAGACAATGACTTTGTACCTCAAATAACAAGATGTGGAGCAGAGTTTTAGTCATGGAAATACATCCAAAAAACAAAACAAAACAAAACAAAAAAACCCAAAACATGCTGACTTCATGAAATGTAGTTCCATTAGAAAATTTAAAAGTCAAATACTGTAAAAATGCATTTAGTAGTTTATAATGCATTTAGTAGTTCACAATATTCTTATCTGCTCAAAGACAAAGAAGCAAATAATTTTCTTGACCAAGGAGAATTCAGGTTCAATTTTTAATGTCCCCATTCTCTAAGCCTTGGTCAGCCCTGTAGGAAGACAATTATCAGGGCTAGAGGAACAGTCCCTGCTGCCTCTTAGAAGTAAACTCAGGCGCTAAATTAAGGTACTTAGAGGTAAACTCTCAGAGTGCACAATGCTTGGCTGTCGGACTCCCGTGGACTCTGGCGCAGAAGGCTAAACACTCCTATTTATTTGGAGAGCAGGGAAAGAATAAGGCAGCAGAAACTCGGCTTTCTCGATCCTCCTTCCAGCTCCTGCTAACCAGTGGGAGTCACACAGCTAACAACTTCATGCTATGGTTTCAAAATGCGAGTTTTAATGTGATTTCATTGTAGTGTCCTTGTATTGAAAAGTGTTTATTATGTAGCTTCAAATTTACCTGAATACTGGGAGGGGGAGGGATGAAAAGGAAAGAAAAGATGGCAGGAAAGCTGTCATTGTGCAAAAGAAGGACATAAAATTCAAGCCATGAATTAAGGAGGCAAATGAAGGCACTCTCTTCCTTTATTAGGAATAGAAGAAAACAGATTGTGTTCATCTTGCTTAGGGCCAACAGGCGCGCTTCATGGAATGCGGCCAGCATCAGTCACAAAGCTCACTCAGGAGTTTTGCTCCGTGAAAACAAGGAAGCCAGATGGGCTATTTACTTTCAACAAGATAATTCTGGAAGAAATTGTTATAAGTCAAAGAAACTTTTTAGCTTCATCTGCTATTTCAGCCTCTACACTGATTTGAGAGGCAAGTAGGGGGTGGGGAGCTCTGTTAGGGAAGAACTAAGAGAACTAGGGAAATAAAAGAAAGTGAAGGGCAAAGCCTGAGGGTTAAGTGGTCCAAGAACATACACTTCCAGGTCATGTCACCTGGGGGAGAGTCCCGGTACCATGGACAAGCTATGTGACCTCTAAGTGATTTGGTGTCCTGAAGGGGGGCAAGGGCACCGAAATAGCATCACAAGAGATGGTAAGGATTAAGTCTCATGGACCAGGAACAGCATCTGAAACACCATGTACAACATGAGAACTCAGTGGGCATCAGACATTTTTATCTGTTCCATTTTCACTCCCTTTGTGAAAGAAAAGGAAATCCATCAGAGATGTAAATATACAGGTCACTGACTAAACAGTTCCTAAGAACATAAGACCTCCAGTTCAGAGTAGTCTCCTGATGATACTGGTCATGATCTACTGGTGATATTCCTGAGTTTAACAATGTCTCTTTTATTTTACTATCATAGGGGGGTAAACAATCCAAATAATTTTATCATTGGGTGGATCAAAACTTTGAGTTTTTCCTACCTTAAAATTAATTCTTTAGCTGGGTGGTGGTGGCGCATGCCTTTAATCCCAGCAGTCAGGAGGCAGAGGCAATCGGATCTCTGTGAGTTTGAGGCCAGCCTGTTCTACAAAGCTACACAGAGAAACCCTGTCTAAAAATTTTTTAAATACTTATTTAAGCAAGATTTCTCTGTATTCATAGAAAACACATTAACTTTTGAGGTAAACACATTATATATACACATATGTAAATATGCCTGAGCATATTATAGAAAGGCACCTATTCACCCTGCTCTTAAGAGCCATGATATATAAATATTACTTATGAGGACCAAACTAAAAGTTTTCAAATTAAATTATAGAATGAGTTGGCATTCAAGCTTTTATGCTTATTATTCAATACTAATGGTTCTAAATAAAAGATACCCTCAGAATAAACTAAAGCACAATTACATTTAGTCTATTGTGATTACCATATATGGTGAGAGGAAGGAGGTACATTTTAGGATTATTCAATATGAAAAGCTAAAACAAACATGTCAGCCTGATTATCTTCGGATTGATCCTGAGACTATACAAATACTCCACTTTCCTGTAATATTAAAATATTTTCAATACTTTGGAAAAGGTAGAGAGTTGATTCCATTAAAAACAATTTTACAGAGCTTTCCTGAATTTTTTGTTTTGTTCTAAATTTTGTTTGTAAGAGTTTTGCTCTAGAATTTGTTTTTGAGACAAAGTCTCACTCTGAAGCCTAGACCGGTCTTGAATTCACTTCAGTTCTGCCCTACAGTCCTGGGTGTTAGGGTTATAGGTATAAACCACCATCTCTTGCTTCCTTAATTCTGAACAGTGCTAAAAATAAAGTAAAACATGCATGGATTATCTGCTTTCTTATCTATGCCATGGACCTTCATTTTTAAAATATACATTATTAGACTAAAGGCCCAAAGTCTAAGAGCCTTTGCTGTTCAGTTTCAACACTGGTTTGCCTCTGCATAAAACAGTGTCAAAATAAAGCACTACCTGCAAGATCTCAGTTAGCCTCAGGGAAGCTCGGAGTCGTTGGAAGCCTGTGTGTACTTCTATTTTGTACCCCACACAGCATACTGTTTGGTTGGAGAATTCATAATCCCCTTCTTTAAAAAAATTGATTTATTCACTATGTATACAGTGTTCTGGCATGTAGTTGGTTGTGAGCCACCATGTGGTTGCTGGGAATTGAACTCAGGACCTCTGGAAGAGCAGCCAGTGCTCTTAACCTCTGAGCCGTCTCTCTAGGTCCAACCAATCCCTTTCTTACCTGAGCTTTTTCTCATGACTACTTTAGAAGATGAGAGCTGAGGCAACTGCTCCCCATGGCAAAGAAGCAGGCATGTTTACTGCTTGTAATTCCCTAAATTCAGAGTTCTGAAAGTGTCCTGCAGGCCCATACCTAGCATCCAAAAGTACCTCAGTATCTGTGAGGGAGGGAACTGAGAGCAACTTCAGTGGTGGCTTGGCGCTGCAGGCTGGGCCAGGTTGAATGTTGACAGGATGCTCTAATCAAAAGTAGCCATCTGTGACAATTAGAGAAAACCAACTCAAGTGAGACTCAGTCAGCACAATGCCCTACAATGAAAGTTGTAGCTTCATCAAGTGATGTGAAAAGCCGCTAATATCCATCTGGTCTGACCTTTGGAACACTTTCAAGTGGCAATAAACTCACACCAGAGTGACCTCCACTCTATGTCTGGGAGAGTTCTCCACTAGGCATGAGGGCCACATTCTGGAACACCTGTTGTTCCCATCATCACTAGTAATAACACTTAGACTTTCTGAGTGACTCCACTGGACTCCCTGAACAAAGACTTTGGTTGTATGAAATGTAGGGAGACTGGATGAAGTTGATACTATAAACTCAACTCATTCTGATGCTTAGGGTCCTACTGGTTGCAGCCCTAACTAAAGCTTGTATTAGATAGCTTAACAGATTTGTTTCTAGCCTTTGTGGTGAGATTTACTGACCATGATATGACATATTCAGGTCACAGCTTGTAAGAAGCCAAAACAGGATGGCATGAAATTTTTAAAGGGATGATTTCCCCTGGGTTTCTCACTTACCACATGTTTTGTTGTGCATACAGATGCTCTATGGTACTGACCAACTATTTACCTTGACCGTATCTCGAAGTTCTTTATATAACTTAACAAATTCACCAATGCCTATCTCTAGAAAAAGCATAAATTTCCTTACTGCTTTCTATATCTGTGGTAGATTCTTAAAACTGTCCTTATCTGCAAGGCAAGCCTGTTACGTGAACAGCATTCGCCTGGTAGGGAAGCAAGATAGGTGAGACTAGGAGTTGAGGATTCTGGGAAACAGAGGCACAGTCAGCCATGATGTAGGATGCCAGAGGAGTAAGAGGTCTGGACCCTTTCTCCAGGAAGAGAAGATCACATGGAAATATTTAGATTAGCAGTTGTGGGTTAATAATTAAGTCAGAGCTAGCAGATATGAAACCAAGCAAACAGCCAACAGCTTCATAATTAATATAGTGTTTCCTATGTTATTTGGGGGCTAACAGGGCCCAGGCGAGAATCCCACAACTAATGGCAGCCACTGGTGGCAGCTAAAACCTGGACCATATTACATCACCTCTGTGGAATTTGGGGACAAAGGAAACTATAAGTTTAACGACGTTTATTTAGCTTTCCATACATAACAATGAGGTCCTTGGTCTCTGGTTTATAAGTCTTGTGAGTCTGCAGTATCCATGGTATGTGTAGACATAATGACATATTAGTTTGCAAGTAGGGTCAACACCACAACATGTTTAGCTCTGCCTTATATCTTTGATGTAATATATATACTTTTGATGCATAATATAAAGCCACATTCAGGTACCTACTCTCAGACTGAATGTTCACATATAAAAGTACATAGATACATCACAGCTACATTATTTCACCTAGATTGTTTTTAGTTTTGTTGTTTCTGTTTTTTAAGACCGGGTTTCTCTATGTAGCCTCAGCTATCCTGGAAGTTGACCAGGCTTGCCTTGAACTCAAGAGATTCTCCTACCTCTACCTCTTGAGTGCTGGGACTCACCCAGCTTACCTAGATTTTTTTGTTTTTTACAGTAATTAAGAAAAAACTCTTAATATAGAAATATCAAAACCAAGCCACGTTTAATCTTCTAGAACCAGAAACATCTGGGACCTACCCATAACACAGGTTTCTCACTTTAATTCCACTTCCCCTGAGTAGCAGTGCATTTATGAAAATCTTGATTGGCTTTCTATTGCTTCATAAAACATTGACCAGAAGCAACTTGCAGAGGAAAGGGTTTATTTGGCTTATAGGTGACAGTTCACCATCACGGGAAGGCAGGAATCAGGGTAGGAACTGAGGGAGGCAACATGCAGGAAGTGCTTACCGGGCTGCTGCCCTTGACTTGTTCTGTTATCTTTCCTATGTTCAGGGATAGCACCACCCACAGTGGGCTGGGCCCAGCTACGTAATTAGCAATTTGAAAATGCCCAAAGACATGCCCACAGGCCAATCTGATGGAGGTACTTCCCAATTGAGATTCCCTCTTCCCAGGTTTGTCTAGGTTTGTGCCAGCTGCCAAAACTATGATAAGGGGGGATGTGACTATGGCATCAATCCTGGAATGTGAAGAACTATTAGGTATAGAAAACAGTGTGGTAAGATAGCATGGTGGCAAGGGCGATTTGGGATTTATTCTAAGTTTTACTCTTAAAAGAATAATAAATTAATCCAACAAATAATAAACCTACACCATGAAGGCAGAAGAATGTTGGCAAGACCATTATTTGTAAAATTGGTCATTTGTTAAAGGGAGGTGTAAAAAAAGTAGGCCTGATTCAGAGAATAATTCGATTTTATATATCTTTGTCAAAACTCTTACAAAAGCAAAGTATTCAAGGGTTCAAATTTCACCTTTAGAAATTTAATAAAAAGATTCAAGTACCACCAAATACTTTTTGCATGCTTATTAGCAAAAGACGTAATACTTCGCAGTAATAGCCAGACTTCTGGCTGAGTAGATATGAGATGTGATTGAAAACTATTCTAAATTAACTGCTCTGTAACATATATAAATTTTAAAACCTGAGCTAAGAATTAGGAAAATTCATGTCACTTTGGAAGGTAACCCCATATTCACTTGAGTCTCTACTTCATTAAAAATAAAAATGAATGGTTTTCAGAACAACCCGCCATGAGCTTGATGGACGATCATCTCTCCACCCTGTGAGCAGTGAGGAAAAAGTGGCTATGTTTATTTGTAACGCTCCATATCCTAGGAAATAGATAAGTGATGTTGTTGGCATGTTGGATTATTTAATTATGTGGAGGCCCTGCTGGAGGTGTGTTTGCTCATGGTAAACAGAAACAAATATTTCAAAACTATGCAGAATGCCCAACGAAAGCATTAAAGTTAAACCTGTATTTTAAATAGCATGACGGAACACGCTTAGAACAATTGTGAGGGAAATCAGATTTCTGCCCTTTCTTCAGTTTCACCGGAATCTGTGTATAAACAGGGCTGAGAGGTTAATGCTTGAGCCTTGGATAGGACAGAATGATGTCACCAATGTGCCAAAATACTAAAAGCATGAGAATAAATGTTTTTCCTTTTAAAAACAACCTCAGACTAATTAAGATAAATGTCGGTCTAAATTAAATTGCCATGAAGTTTTCTCTACAAGGCTTTAGGCACTGTAAGCACTCCTTGACTTTGGCCTGTCATGCCTCTTCAATAAATCATGCAGCAGACTAGAAGTCAATTGAAATGATCGAATCAAGGAAAATCAAATTTTTTTAACATTTAGTTTCAGTAATGTGATTATGAAGCTTTTAGTGATATTGTAATTACTTTGAAGCTTTGAGCATATGTTTATATTGAACGTATCCCACGGAGAAAAGCTGCACTAGGGAAACAAGGAAGTAGAGACCCCAAAGAGGAAAATGTTATTTGATATGAAGTTAAAAGCTAGAGGTAGAAGAGGCAAGGCATCGTGTGATTTATATTCTAAGCATCATATATAGGGCAGCCACTTTCCAACCCCACAGTCATAAAAAAGTCAAACAGTTAAATGGTTTTCCTCCAAGGGTGAGCGCTGGAGAAACACCGGGGAGAAGCAACAGTAAAGAGCAGGGGCGGGAAGAAGCTTCCATGTGCGAGCTCCCATTTACTCTGCACAGGGAAATACGGCAGGCAAAGTCATCCTCTAACTTTAATGAGTCATCTCCGCTGAAGCTGAAACACTTCACATGTGTTTAGCATTTATCAAGTCAGGCTGTATAGTCCTTCACTCTTTCCCCTGCTTATTCACTCTATCCCTACCTCAACCCTTACTGACAAGACGCTGGGCTCAGACACCAAAGATAAAGGAGATGAGGCTGAACCTAGCTAACACAAGTATCAACAGACAATGGATTCTTGCAGGGGGCATTGGAGAAGAGAAACCAAAGGCAATCATATTTCTTCCCCATTCATTTCTATTGCCACTCACTCAGCATTATCTCCTACATAAACACATACTCCTTCCTTCAAGAATGAGGTATTACATAAATAAACAACATCAAAATAGAAAGAGTCTTTAGGAATTAGGAAAAAATGATTCTATGAAAAATATAAATTGTGCAAACCCTTGAAGGACTGGTTTGTTTTGATTACATCAAAATGCTATTTGCCCTTACACGCCCTGCCTGGGTAGGAAACACTATAACATATTCATGTAAGAGCAAGGTAAACTGGAGAGGAAGGAATCATAAACAGTTCCAAGGAACACTCAAACTGTGCCCACCCTGGTCAAAATGACCCCATCCGGGTGGTCAGGCAATGACTAATTTTGGTAAATAACATCTTCTCATCACAACTGTCCTTGTGGGCAACTGTTAGTAACAATTTTGAAATTCCCCTAGCCCCCATGTCAATGAATCCAAAGGCCACCTACTCTTACCCAATCCTGAACAGCCAAAGCACATACCACCCTGCTTATGGGTTTTACCTTTAAAAACCCCTTACAACTGAGGCCAGGCGCCCTTTTCCTGCAGCTGCTGAGCCAGTTTGCTGGACAGGTCCCTGCCGAGGCTTGTAACATTAAACCTTATGTGTCTGCATAAGTGAGTCGGCTCCTTGGGGGTCTTTCTTTGGGGTCTCATGAACTGGGCATAACAATTCGAAGTGTTTATTCCAGCTTCTAAAATGTGTGTCTGTCTGTAAAGCTGGAACTTACTGTTTCCTCTGAACTAGCTGGCTAGCCAGCATAATGGATCTGCCTGTCTCTGCCCAACTCAGCCCCTGGAAGGAGTGTACCACTAAATCTGGCTTTTATGTGGGCACTGGAGACCCCGACTTAGGTCCTCATGTTTGCTGGGTAAGTTCTTTACCCATCAAGGCATCTCCCCAGCCCATTATTTTCAAGTTTGAATTAATTCCTTTCTTTCAAGCATAGATAGTCACTTTCTGATATTACTTTGGTGAAATCCAGTTCATGAACTTAAAGTAGCCTGATCACTGACCTCTGCAGTTGTCAAAGTTTGCTT